AAAAAACGAAAGGGGTACCACTGTCGTTTTTTTTTCGGGTCGAATTTTTGAGTTTCGATATCTCAGCTCTGGAAGGGTCTAGAGCCTCCATTTTTGCACTCAGGTCTAAGTCTCATGGCCCTCTATCAGAATCCAGAGTTTTGAGAAGATTGGAGAAACTTAATTTTTCGCCGAAAAAAAAAAACGAAAGGGGTACCACTGTCTTTTTTTTTTCGGGTCGAATTTTTTGAGTTTCGATATCTCAGCTCTGGAAGGGTCTAGAGCCTCCATTTTTGCACTCAGGTTTAAAGTCTCATGTCCCTCTATCAGAATCCAGAGTTTTGAGAAGATTGGAGAAACGTAATTTTTCGCCCGAAAAAAAAAACAAAGGGGTACCACTGTCGTTTTTTTTTTCGGGTCGAATTTTTGAGTTTCGATATCTCAGCTCTGGAAGGGTCTAGAGCCTCCATTTTTGCACTCAGGTTTAAGTCTCATGGCCCTCTATCAGAATCCAGAGTTTTGAGAAGATTGGAGAAATGTAATTTTTCGCCCGAAAAAAAAAAAACGAAAGGGGTACCACTGTCGTTTTTTTTTTCGGGTCGAATTTTTGAGTTTCGATATCTCAGCTCTGGAAGGGTCTAGAGCCTCCATTTTTGCACTCAGGATTAAGTCTCATGGCCCTCTATCAGAATCCAGAGTTTTGAGGAGATTGGAGAAATGTAATTTTTCGCCCGAAAAAAAAAAACGAAAGGGGTACCACTGTCGTTTTTTTTTCGGGTCGAATTTTTGAGTTTCGATATCTCAGCTCTGGAAGGGTCTAGAGCCTCCATTTTTGCACGCAGGTCTAAGTCTCATGGCCCTCTATCAGAATCCAGAGTTTTGAGAAGATTGGAGAAACTTAATTTTTCGCCTGGAAAAAAAAACCGAAAGGGGTACCACTGTCTTTTTTTTTTCGGGTTGAATTTTTGAGTTTCGATATCTCAGCTCTGGAAGGGTCTAAAGCCTCCATTTTTGCACTCAGGTTTAAGTCTCATGTCCCTCTATCAGAATCCAGAGTTTTGAGAAGATTGGAGAAACGTAATTTTTCGCCCGAAAAAAAAAACAAAAGGGGTACCACTGTCGTTTTTTTTTTCGGGTCGAATTTTTGAGTTTCGATATCTCAGCTCTGGAAGGGTCTAGAGCCTCCATTTTTGCACTCAGGTCTAAGTCTCGTGGCCCTCTATCAGAATCCAGAGTTTTGAGAAGATTGGAGAAACTTAATTTTTCGCCCGAAAAAAAAAAACGAAAGGGGTACCACTGTCGTTTTTTTTTTCGGGTCGAATTTTTGAGTTTCGATATCTCAGCTCTGGAAGGGTCTAGAGCCTCCATTTTTGCACTCAGGTTTAAGTCTCATGTCCCTCTATCGGAATCCAGAGTTTTGAGAAGATTGGAGAAACTTAATTTTTCGCCCGAAAAAAAACAAAACGAAAGGGGTACCACTGTCGTTTTTTTTTGGGTCGAATTTTTGAGTTTCGATATCTCAGCTCTGGAAGGGTCTAGAGCCTCCATTTTGGCACTCAGGATTAAGTCTCATGGCCCTCTATCAGAATCCAGAGTTTTGAGGAGATTGGAGAAATGTAATTTTTCGCCCGAAAAAAAAAAACGAAAGGGGTACCACTGTCGTTTTTTTTTCGGGTCGAATTTTTGAGTTTCGATATCTCAGCTCTGGAAGGGTCTAGAGCCTCCATTTTTGCACTCAGGTCTAAGTCTCATGGCCCTCTATCAGAATCCAGAGTTTTGAGAAGATTGGAGAAACTTAATTTTTCGCCTGAAAAAAAAAACGAAAGGGGTACCACTGTCTTTTTTTTTTTTGGGTTGAATTTTTGAGTTTCGATATCTCAGCTCTGGAAGGGTCTAAAGCCTCCATTTTTGCACTCAGGTTTAAGTCTCATGGCCCTCTATCAGAATCCAGAGTTTTGAGAAGATTGGAGAAACGTAATTTTTCGCCCGAAAAAAAAAAAATGAAAGGGGTACCACTGTCGTTTTTTTTTTTTCAGGTCGAATTTTTGAATTTCGATATCTCAGCTCTGGAAGGGTCTAGAGCATCCATTTTTGCACTCAGGTCTAAGTCTCATGGCCCTCTATCAGAATCCAGAGTTTTTAGAAGATTGGAGAAACGTAATTTTTCGCCCGAAAAAAAAAAAACGAAAGGGGTACCACTGTCGTTTTTTTTTTTTTCGGGTTGAATTTTTGAGTTTCGATATCTCAGCTCTGGAAGGGTCTAAAGCCTCCATTTTTGCACTCAGGTTTAAGTCTCATGTCCCTCTATCAGAATCCAGAGTTTTGAGAAGATTGGAGAAACTTAATTTTTCGCCCGAAAAAAAAAAACGAAAGGGGTACCACTGTCGTTTTATTTTCGGGTCGAATTTTTGAGTTTCGATATCTCAGCTCTGGAAGGGTCTAGAGCCTCCATTTTTGCACTCAGGATTAAGTCCCATGGCCCTCTATCAGAATCCAGAGTTTTGAGGAGATTGGAGAAATGTAATTTTTCGCCCGAAAAAAAAAAAACGAAAGGGGTACCACTGTCGTTTTTTTTTCGGGTCGAATTTTTGAGTTTCGATATCTCAGCTCTGGAAGGGTCTAGAGCCTCCATTTTTGCACTCAGGATTAAGTCTCATGGCCCTCTATCAGAATCCAGAGTTTTGAGGAGATTGGAGAAATGTAATTTTTCGCCCGAAAAAAAAAACGAAAGGGGTACCACTGTCGTTTTTTTTTCGGGTCGAATTTTTGAGTTTCGATATCTCAGCTCTGGAAGGGTCTAGAGCCTCCATTTTTGCACTCAGGTCTAAGTCTCATGGCCCTCTATCAGAATCCAGAGTTTTGAGAAGATTGGAGAAACTTAATTTTTCGCCCGAAAAAAAAAAACGAAAGGGGTAGCACTGTCTTTTTTTTTTCGGGTTGAATTTTTGAGTTTCGATATCTCAGCTCTGGAAGGGTCTAAAGCCTCCATTTTTGCACTCAGGTTTAAGTCTCATGGCCCTCTATCAGAATCCAGAGTTTTTAGAAGATTGGAGAAACTTAATTTTTCGCCCGAAAAAAAAAACACGAAAGGGGTACCACTGTCGTTTTTTTTTTCGGGTCGAATTTTTGAGTTTCGATATCTCAGCTCTGGAAGGGTCTAGAGCCTCCATTTTTGCACTCAGGTCTAAGTCTCATGGCCCTCTATCAGAATCCAGAGTTTTGAGAAGATTGGAGAAACTTAATTTTTCGCCTGAAAAAAAAAACGAAAGGGGTACCACTGTCTTTTTTTTTCGGGTCGAATTTTTGAGTTTCGATATCTCAGCTCTGGAAGGGTCTAGAGCCTCCATTTTTGCACTCAGGATTAAGTCTCATGGCCCTCTATCAGAATCCAGAGTTTTGAGGAGATTGGAGAAATGTAATTTTTCGCCCGAAAAAAAAAAAACGAAAGGGGTACCACTGTCGTTTTTTTTTCGGGTCGAATTTTTGAGTTTCGATATCTCAGCTCTGGAAGGGTCTAGAGCCTCCATTTTTGCACTCAGGATTAAGTCTCATGGCCCTCTATCAGAATCCAGAGTTTTGAGGAGATTGAACATCCCGATGCGGTCCACGCTGCTGAGAGCGGCGTTTGGATCATGAATATGTAAATATGCACGTGGTTTCCTCGCACTAACAAGCTAAACACACATTAAAAATGACAGCGGTGAGAAAACAGCTGTTAAGAAAGCATCAAGCATGGAGTTGAGGATGTTTGCACAAGCTTCAAGATTTCGCTTGAAGTAAATCGGGGCCTTTACTGCAAAGCTATTGTAGTTAAAAAGCAGAATTCCTATGCTAGACCATTCATGTTAAAAAGGTAGTTTGTGCCTAAAAAGCCCATCTGGTGGGAAAGAGTCCCTCAGTCCTGAAGATCAAGCCGTCTGGATGGGGATAAGGTTACAGTATTGTTAAGAGTGACATGGGAACAGTATTCCGAAATCGGCCCCCTCACCCAAAGTAAGTGATTAATAGGTGTTTGAGTATTTAATGTCAGTGTAATTCAGATTTAATGGGTAAATTGCAGAAGAAGATGCTTTTTCATTGCTGTGATGATCTAATCAGCCTAATGGACTGGGTTGTAGCGAGAGCCAAGGGGTTTCTCAGAGATACACAATGTGAAAAGAACACACTAGCCTCGCAATTACCCGGTCAAAGAGCGATTCAGGAAGCTTTATTGGGGCAAATGCAGGGAACAGCAGAAGTGGATCTCTGGCACGCTCACAATGGACATGGTGACAGTAGGTTTCTACACATCCTGTGGTGCTTGATGAGCTGTAATTGAATGGACTGAAGGAGTGATACTAGATGCATGGAGTCCTGTGATGTATTTGATGGAACTAGGGAGGTATTGAGCCGAGATTACTGATGATAAATGATGTACCAATTATCAGGATTCAAAGGACATTCATCTCACAGATGGAATGTCTTCCATTTGATTCATACCATAACGAAATTTCCTTGGATTGACTAACCAGAAAAGCAGGTCAAATCATTAATACTTGATCTGTTTGTTTTGTTGTTTTAAATAGTACTTGAAAAATATATTTCTAGAAGTGTGAAAGCATCTGTAGCATCAATTCAGTAAAAGGTTAATTATTAGATTTGTAAAGTTGAGGTGGGACCAATTTTCATCCACCAAAAAAAGTAGTCACACCTCAAAAAGAATGGGTATTTTTCAAAATACATGTATAACTTATAATGATTTTAGCTCAAATAAAGGGAATATAATTTTAATAATCGGTAATTTAAAATTACCCATAAATGGAATAAGTTCCAAATGGCCTGTATGGACAACTGAACACAACAAATTATAATCAGTTCTCCGTAAAGGTGGAACGGGAGCTTCGTGCCCTGGATGTGCATCCCACAAATCTCCATCAAGATGCTATCCTATCAATATGGGCCAACATTTCTAAAGAATGCTTTCAGCACCTTGTTGAATCAATGCCACATAGAATTAAGGCAGTTCTGAAGGCGAAAGGGGGTCAAACACAGTATTAGAAGAATGGTGTTCCTAATAATCCTTTTGGTGAGTGTGTCTATATATAAATTTGGAATATTCTTTAAAGCTTCTGTGTTTCTGTTCCTTTAGGTTGTATGTATCAGGGTCGGGACTGTCGGTTGGTCATTCACTATGAGCAAGGTTTCTCTGTCATAGCAGATGGAGACGTCAGCTCTCTGGCACAGACACTTTTCAGCTACCCGTTTGAAAAGCTGAAGATGTCTGCTGACGACGGCGTACGGATCCTCTATCTGGATTTTGGTGGAAATGAGGGTGAAATTGTGAGTAATATCTGAGGTTCATTCATTAGCAACAAAATGAATCATCCATGCTGAGAGCAGGCTTGTGCAATTCAGAATTGAATTGAGAATGACTCCTGAAAATCCAATTCAAATTCTTGAATTTAAATCGATGTCAAAAACAGGATCTAGAATTACAATTCAAATTTGAATTAAAGGAAGCAGAACTGCAATTCAATAAAAATTCACAGAAATTCATATTCATATTTTAAGTGACGTGTTTAACAATGAAGGTTTAGAGTATACTCATTATATTAGTTTGAAGTACAAGAACAGATTACATTAACGGCAAATGTTTTCCCCCAGCAATGAATGCTAAAAGTTCTAGTCACAGAACAAATAATTAAGTTTGATTTATTGTAATTGTAATTTTGTGGAACATGACTACAATTTGAGGTGGACAATTGTTTTTATATATATACAGTATATATTTTAGAACAAAATGTATGCAGGGTTGAGGATTGACTAGTTACAGGTACGTTTAATTAAATTGTGTTATTAAATTACACAATTAAAGTAATTGTATTTAGTTTTTTTTACTGAGGTAAAATGTGTAATTCAATTAGTTACTAATCAAATTAAAAGGAAATTGCTCTACATTGATAAAGTAATCCAAATAAAATAATCCAAACCACATTTATTAAGGTTTGACTTATAACAGTGAGCAATTACATTTCCAAAATAACCTTCCTAACACTGAATGTGTGTGAGATTCAACACATTCTTTCTGTTTTGTGACTGTGTGAAATTTCTTTGAATTGCCATGAATTTAATTCCACTTCCTGTCATTCCAATTCCAATTCAACTTCCTGTGGGGTGGAGTCAATTCAATTCAAATTCCAATTCATGAATTGAATGCAGGCCAATTCTGAAATTCAGAATTTTGCTCGAGCCTTTCTCAGAGTGCTGTTTTACTATTAAGTCAGATTAAAAAAAATAAAACTATAATTAACTACTGATCTAATCATATATTTAGCTTCATTGAACTGATTCATTACAAATGTTCATGGACGTCTTAGTGTGGCATTTTACATGTTTATTAAAATATATAAATAAATATTGCTATATACTATATATATATGATATATATATATGATATATATATATATCACTGATTCTTGAAACTTTGGCAAAAACATGTCCCACTAAAAAAAGTGCTAATTCTGTTGGAAATTAATAACATTTTCATGAATGAAAAGAATCAAGTTTATAATCAGGGGGTCCTTTGCACATATGTAAGGTTCTTTTATAGGTTTATTTTTCATTTTTATTATTTTAATGATTATATGCTGGCCCATTGCCTACAAAATCAGCTGTCCTCGGATAGGAGATAATCATTTCAACTTGATTAAAAAAACAAAAAGGAATAATTGAATTGAATAATATATTTACCACACAAAAGAGTACATTGCAATATGTATTAAAAACTACAAACAGTGAGTTTTGAACAATATTTACTATTATTTTGTGGTTGTTCAAAATGTGTCCCACATATTCGTCACCACCGTCAGATATTTATAAAAAGCAATAAAATCAAGCAACTACAAGGTCAACTACATTCCTCCTTACCCCATTTTCAAACCTTCAGCTTTACAGCATGCTTCAAGATCACTCAAGCTCCCGTAATTTTGCTATTTTCTCTTAAACTTGTTCATATATTTGGGCACTGCTACTGTCACAACCATAACATGTCAACACCGTCACTTTTGTATAGAAAATATTAGATTAGATTATGACATAATTGTATACTTTTTAAGAAGAGGTCTGAAGTAGCTAGCAACAGAGGGGAAACAAGATGGCTATAATGTGAACAACTCATGCATATCATGTGAAAGAGTAGGTTTTGTCACCACCGTCAGACGTCACCACCGTCAGGTTTTCTATCTGACGGTGGTGACATACTGTGTGACGGTGGTGACAAAACCCCCCAAATGGTTTATAACAGAGGCTAGAATATAATTGTAGATCACAATAAATACCAATATATTATCCTGTAATATTCCATTCACCTCTTTAATATTTTTATTTATTTAATTCCCCCTATATTTCTTCCATACAGGCTTACACTGCATGCTACTATTAGCGCGAGTGAGAGTGAGGATGTTTCCTGATATCCTCACGGCTGTGCTTCAGCTGCAGGAATACAGCAGTTCTAATCTGAACACGTTTGATGCGATTAAATTGTGTTTCATGACGTTCATTTAGATTTTTGCCCACACTAAAAATTTGTTAAAGCCTAGCATGGATAGGAGCAGCAATAACCCCCTTGGGGTAAACAGAACAGAACCAACATGAATGTTTTGCAGATTATTTCAAAATTTAAAGTACAATATAATCCGAGAATTTATTCAGATTCTTGGGGAATCAGAATGTCAAGTCCTGACTGACGAGTGGAGCTGGGGAGGGAGGAGGGTAATGAGCTCCTGAGAAACGTGATAGCTGATGATAATACTGAAGGAGCTTATATACAGTGATAGGCGTCATATTCCTATAGGGGGAGGTTGATCAGCTAATAGTCGGCTGATGCGAGCTTGACTAACGTGACCTGCCAGAACTAACCAGAACTAAGGATACACATAGTGCAGCTACTGCCTACCTACACAGCACATAGTATGCACTATCCATTCCAGGCTATGCATCTCCAATGACTAAAGCCAAATGAAAATGGCATGACATCATTTAAACAAATCTAACATTCGCTGTAATTACCCCCAATTTCATAGTCATTACACTCAACTTTGACTTTATGTATTTTCGAAAGTTATGGCTAGGCAGCAGCTATCTGTAGAGGAGAGAAGGAGAAGAAACAGGGAATACCAAAAAAAGCTGAGAGAGAAAATACACAGTGAGGCAGAGTTAAATGAGGAATACCTCATAAAAGGAAAAAAATGTTTATCACAGTGCTCAAGATTGTTATTTTTTGGACCAAAGAGTTAAATGAAGTTGTTAAGCAAGAATTGATTGACTTGAGTGGTATACATTGTGGAATTGTATGTTGTAAAGAGGCCACAGTCACCACCGTCAGATTAATGTCACCACCGTCAGTTCTAAAGTCACCACCGTCAGAGGGAGTTTTATTGGTTTTAAATGAATATACTTGAAATATGATTCTTCAGTGCTGTTGAGTTATTAAAGTAATAGTCTCTTTTAATACAAAAATATGTTTGTTAAATAAAACAACATTAATTTTTCTATTTAGGCTTAAAGTAAATGTTGTATGATGTTATATCTTTTAAAGGAGTACACGCAAAACAGTATAAAAAATGAACAAAAGTGAATATTCAACATTTAACAGCATATATGTGTACCAAGAATGCCAGATAATGATTTAAAAACTCTAAATACATATTAGACCAAACAAATAAAAAATAATTTGCTATTTATTTTGTCTGACGGTGTTGACAAAAACAAAGTGATAACTGGAGAAACGCCTATTTTATGAAAAAAATACAAAATGAGGAGGTTGCACCGGTGCATTGCTGAACAGCCAAGACCTTGCTTTATAATGATATACCTTCAGATTTTGTAATTTAACTAACTTTTTATTTTCAAAATTAAAACCTGTTTTATCCAAATTCCCAAGAATCACTGATATATATATATATATATATATATATATATATGTGTATATATATGTGTGTGTGTGTGTGATACATTATATGACAGGGATTAACCTAAACAATCACAAAATATTCACATTAATTTTGGTAAAAGCATGATCCCCCAAAATATTAAATCATTTTTGTGTTAAATAAGAAAAGCATCAATTAGACATTAAAACAAGTAGCTTTATTTTTTTTTTTTTTTTTGATTCAACATTTATTACACATTAACTTTTAGGCTTCGGCTTTAATGGCCATGAGAGTGAGCATATATATATATATATATATATATATATATATATATATATATATATATAGGAGAAATTCTTGAGAGTAGGAAATGATGATGCATGTCTGTACTGATAGATCCAAGTTCCTGAGAAGATCTGCCCTATTGTTGCTCACAACATGTGTTAGTCACATCAGGAACTTCCCTTCACTGCTTAATACAGTACCTTTTTTTTCCCCATTCACAGCAACTGGACTTGCACTCCTGTCCTAAGCCTATTGTTTTTATCCTCCACTCCTTCCTATCAGCCAAGATTGCAAGATTAGGATTGGTAGCCTGAGACTGAACTGTCATAGACTGAAACAGTGACGTGATTATTTCAACACTGAGAAGGGAAATCCAGAACGAGGTGGAACCCGCAAGACTGAGTGAGGACGATGATGCAGAACTCACGCTGTAGCAGACCTCTGAATGATTTCAAATGCATTTCAGTAATGATAAACTATGTATTTTTCAGAGAAAAATCAATGTGAAATTGTATTTCACTATAATTAATATTTCAAGAGAGAGAAAAAAAAAATCAAACTATATAATGAACACTAGCTCGTGATTGTAACTGGAAGTATTATTTTAGAATCCAATACAGCAGAATATTCAGCACTTACAGTACCATTAACTTCTATATAACGGTAAGGAAGGCGGCCATCTGTATGACAGCTGTCTGAGTTATTGCATCTGTCTGGCAGCTTATGTGGATTAAAGAAAGGTTAGTTTAAACCCTGTTAATGCACATAAAAGTTGAAACATCTTGTTTAGTTTCTGGTGCTTTCACTCGGGAAATGCACTACACCGACGGTTGAGCAGAATCAACAAGGACATTCTAGAGTGCCGGTCATCAAAGAGGCATGTCAACAAACTGTCTGCTTTCACAAGGCCTTTGTGACAAAAGGGGAAAATCGAGGCAGGGTCAGCCCTCCCCTTCAGAACAGTGTATCTGTTTCCACAGACAAATGGAGTTTCGGTGGCTTTAACGGACGTTTCACTTCCAAAATCAGGAGTACAAACCTGTGACATGCAAGAGAAAACTTTAGAAACGCCGCCACATTTGTGTAGTTGTTTTTTTTTTTTTAATATGCATCTGAAGAATGTTCTCAAATTACTGCGGAATGTGCATGCATGTACGTTCGCATAACTATTGTGGAGGCTCAGATTCGCTCGCGGTGGCCCGTGGTCATATACAAACACAAAGGCCATTGAAGTACTTCAGATGTCAGATTATGAATTAGAGCACTCGGGAATTTCCAAGTTAACCAGCAATTAGTGTCCATTGTTTGGGCACCGAGCGTTCCCAGAGCACTCCTCCATTGTGGGGGTCATGTGTTTGGGGACAGTAGGGCCCCTGTGGCAAAGCCTTTGTCTCATCTGTGAAACCATCCCAGCCACATTCCAGCACACATGACAGATCCAAGAGTCACAGGCCTGGGAACCTGCTTTCGACAGTAAAGGGATATTTCATTCTAAAATTACATTTCTTTCATTTTCTCACCCTCGTGTCATTACAAACTCGATTTGACCACAAAAGATAATGAATTTGAAGAATGATTATGTTCGAATTATGAAAGTCAATTAAATTTTGAAAGTCCAAGACTATCAAGCTCCATAAGCACATAGTGTGAAGTTATGATGTGTTCAAGCCAAGCTGGAACATACTCAGACTCAAAATTGTGCATTTGTATGGCAACACTGTTAATGTCAAAGTGAATCTGAGTTTGAGACTTTGAGTGCTCAAAAGACAAAACCACAATACAAATAACAGTTGTTATGCAAATGCATTTGTTAAACAATTTATGTAGTGTAACATTAGACTAATAAACTTTGTGCTTGCTTGACTAAACTATTGTATGTCAAGTTTCAGATTATTCTTTTGTTAAAAACATGAACATAGTTATTAATAATCAATACTAACAAATTGAAACAAATATTATGTAATAACTAGATTTTATTGCTGATGCAGCTGGCATTGCTTTTCCACATGATGTGATAGTGGTCAGGTGGTCAGAGCTTTCAAGTTGTAATTACAAGTTCTAGGATGTAAATGCTTTTTACAAGTACATCTCGCAATTACAGTAAATTTGACATGATGTGAACAGCCTTTAATACATACGACTTAGGTCTACTGAAGCGATTTTAATATTTTTTATTCATTCTTAAACAAATGAAAACACTGGTCAATGCAAATACAAATATTGTGAAATATTTAAACTAAGGATGCAGATTATCGACTAATTCATTAATCGTCAGTTGACCAAACTTATCGATCGATTATCGATTAACTGATAATTGGCTATTTTCCTGAGGATGTCAATTTCTCACATTATCAAATATCTTTAACGTAAAAAGCTAAATATTACTTATATACTGAATAAAAATGCATGGTATATTGCTCAATTGATATTTTATTGTAACAGTTGAGATACGGTACAGATAATGGCATTTATGTAGTTTAAATAAATTACAAAAAAAAAAAAAAAATACATAAAACACTGGCTCACCTGTTGCATGTGAAACATTAAGCAATATAAAATACATTTTAAATAAAAATCTATATGAGTAGGCTTAGCCTACATTATATTAGGCCTACATATAATAATCTAAATTATTTGCTTAAAAAACTAGAAACATTAGCAGCAGCACATATAATCCCCCTTGGTCTGAGGAAGGTAAAAGTAAAATTAATAGACCTGGAAACTTCAAATATAGAACTGAACACAACTTAAATCATCTCTGCGGAAGGTGACAATACAATTAGAAGGCAGAGTTTCCCATACATTCATTGATGGCGGCCCGCCACAATATCAACGCTGATCGCCACACATTGATTTTCGATATTCACTTAACACTACCACTCGCGCTCACGCTCCCTCATGGAACACCGCTGCACAAATCTGTCCAACACAGTGCTGTTAATGTTTGAGACCCAGCTTTAAAAAAAAGTTCTTAGCCAGCATGCAAATAGGATAGCTAATAAGGAGAGCCAAGTTATTGTTAGAATACAGCTGGATTTTCGAGGTAAGCACACTGTAGTCCACTCCGTTTTGACAGCTTCATGTTTGGTTACTTTTTTGCCTCAAGGTTTTGTCGGGTGTCTCGCGTGAGAATCTTGTGTCAAGTTTGCAATCTTCAATTAGCCGACAATTAATCGATTAACCCTCTACATCCCTAATTTGAACTCCTTTGACTTTAATAATGTGGACAAAAACATGCTTCAACATTTTGGAATGATAAGAGAATGAGTAAATGATGGTGTGAATTAAATACTCATTACTTCTACTGTTTAGGAACAATAATGTTGCTTATACTTCCTCATTTTCAGCTTGAGTTTCAATAAATGGTTACTGGGAGGAAGTTTGAAGCTCTGAAAATGACAGCTTATTTTCATAGTGCAATGAACTCTTATGAAAGGATCAAGGACAGTTTGATCCCTCATGATAAGGAACACTTATATCAAGACGTCAGCATGCAGAACAAAGTGAGACGCTTAAACACTGTAGAAAGAGCTTCTTGACAGTCTGCAGTTTAATAAAGTTCACCCACACAGGTCAAAATACTGGGGAAAAGATTCTGTTTTATCATTCACTATCATAACATCGAGTTCCACCCTACTAACTAGAGCAGCTCTGTTGAGTGAGTTCAGATTGCATGTGTCTTTCAAGGGCTCTCAGGGCTGCCAATGTAATGTGCAACCCCCTCCCCTCCTTTCCCATCACCCCTCTGGGCACCCAGAAGTGAGAACAATGGCCCTGTGTGGGACTGGAATGTGTCCGGCAACTTTGCCAAATGAGACACCCTCAACCTTCTCTGGGCAAGGAGTACCTTGACCTCAGCCCAGTGTGACCTTTTGATCCCAACACAGCAGTCATTTTGGGGCAAACTACTTGGAGATCTGTGCAGTGGAGGTTTAGCGCCAATAGCTTGTGTGTGATAAACAAAAATACATGGTAATCAGAGGGTATGATGAGGTTTTGGAAAAAAAAAGCTTGAAAGTTTCATGTGTTCCTTGTTTCATGCTCGAGTGGTGATTTGAGTGAACTCTGATTACTGAAATGTGATCTGGTCAGAAACGCCCCCTGACTGATTTTCATGATGCAAAACAGTGTTTCTCAGAAAACATGCAGCCATATTTGGCTGTTTGTTTGAGAGTTGCATTTCTTTTCTAGTGAACATCATATAAAAACAACTTTTTAATACATCAAAATCTATGATTATTACAAATACACACAAAAAACAGAAACATAATTATGTACATGCCTCCCGTCAGGAAAATTTCCATGATTAATGCTGTTCTATAGCATTAGAAGCTCTTTTCTACAAGCTTAAACTATTTATTTTGTAGCGTCATGTAAACCTACAACGTTGTAGGTTTACCTTCAACGTTTCTGACTGAAAATTATTCTGGTCATCTTTTAGAAGATTTCTCCACAACCCAATCAATCACCTGTGGATGAGAAAAGTGTGTGTGTGGGAAATCAATTGTGAAGGCATATTACAAAATCAAATCCCTCAAAATAAAATAACAGTTGTAAATTGTCATGTTCAACAACTCCGGTGTACCAGGCATCTCAAAGTGAAGTGTGTACTTTACCTGTTTGACATTGTTACTGGCTGCTTTCTTCATTTCCTCGTGAAGGCCACGTGAGGTTTTCAGATCCTGTTGCAAAACAAACAGAGGTATAATGGCTTAATGAAGAACATTGCGGAAGCTAAGCTTTGCTAATGATTTATTGCATTTATGCACGCATACACCATTCAAAATTCAAGAGTCAGTAAGATTTGGTTTGAAAGAAAATACTTTCAAGTATGCATTCAATTCAAAAGTAACAGTAAAAGAAAGACATTTAAATGGTTACAAAAAATGACCTATTTCTAATCAATTATTTTCTTTCCATTCATTGTAGAATCCTGAAAAAAGTAGCAAGGTTTCCACAAAAATATTAAGAACATTTTACAACATTGATAAGTGTTTTTGATGTCTCACCAAATCAGTATATTTGAATTATTTCTGATCGTGTAACACTGAAAACATGGATTAAATTGCATTCTAAAATATATTTAAATAGGTATTCACATAAAGCTCAGAACACGTCAAAAATGGATTGTTTAAAAACTTCTGATTATAACATTCACAACTATGAGCACTGATGTTTATATCAATGCCTATTAAGTATTTAGTGATTTCAGCTGTCCTGATGAACAACAGTAAGATGCTGGTCATTTTTTTCAATGAGGTCTTAAAGATACAGTAACAAAGCCAGCTTGTATAAATTGAGCAAATTATGAATAATTTTTGCACATGAAAACTTTTTTTTTTTTTTCCCTCCACACAAAATGCTTTAGGAACAAAGTGAATTGAAAGAAGTTTCTTGAACTAAGTTTTTGTTCCCCTGTCATGGATAAATTATGTAGATAGCATCAATCAGCAGCGTTTACACAGCATATTTTGAAAGCTTCAAAGATGTCCTAAAGGCAGGACGGCAGGGTGCGAGGGGAAGAGGTAGAACGATTCGTACCCACCTTCAGATAAAACTTTGATATGTCAAACAGTCTCTGACTGCAGGCTTCAAAGCACTTGTGCTCACTGCTGATCCCGTGTTTATCAAGCGTCTTAGCAACCACCTCCCTCAGCATCTGAAGCAGAAACACCGGATGAGAACGATGGACAATCACGGATCTATTGCACTCACATAAAGCCCTAACGTGCTGATGGACTGTAGAGGTGAATTACCTGAATAAGACGATTTAAGGTTTTAAATGGGTTGAGAGCTATTTTGGTTCATCACAAGTCAAAGTGCAGCATTTAGTGGGCAGATATTTTGGTATAATGACCCTTAAACTGCATATTTGACCATTGTCCCTGCAACCAATTTCCTACATAGCTGTAGTTGTTTTATGTATCTCTAAGCACTTGAACCAACATTTCATGCCCATATATTTATTTGTCAAGTTGTAATATTATAAGCAAGATAATGCAGTCAGTCAGTCATCATTGGAAAACAAACTTATTTAGGAAGTTCTATTTAACACATTTTGCCATGTTTAAATATCCTCAGGGGATGCTAGCTGATAGTTTTTAAAATAGTTCATTAATTATTTCCGTTGTACTTTTTCCCCATTCTATTGTTGTTCTATTGTTATAAATGAATTTAGGCATCACAACTTTATGTACAGTAGGACAAATATATATATATATATATATATATATATATTCAATTGGAGATTTGAGATTTAATAGAGTTTTTAAATCATCTTTCAAGTGAGCAATAGATGACGGCAAAAGGCCATTCAAATATAAGAATAGGAAAAATAAGCATGAACAATTAAATACGCAATATTTACAACCAATATCTAAAACTCTAACCGATCTCTCATGACCTAATCTCACATGATAAACAAAACGGTAGTGCATTCTAATGAATTGCTAGTGTAGATTTTACCCCAAATTTGAGTAGAAAATTCTCTGTGATCTGTTAATTAGCACTTACCCTGTTGTGTTTCTGGGAGCGGGACTCAGTCTGGGTCTGGCTGGGTTTTTGACTGGGTGAGGGGTCAGCAACAGAAGCAGAACGTCTGGGCAGACCCGAGCTGGAGCGTGAGTGGGCCGCCTGCTGCCGTAGAGCCCCCACAGCAGGGTGAGTGCCACCTGTTCCCAGAGATTCAGAGCTTTCTGATTTACAGAACCTACGAGAGGCAGAGAGGGATTTTAAAGGTGGATTGTGTCAAATATTGCTTCTCTGAGATCATCACATTGTTTTTCACATCAAAACTCGAATCAAATTGACTTGATGTGAGGGTCTACTTAAGCACGAAGCAAACACTTCTACCTCTTTTTCTTCTGGCGATCTCAGCTCTAGCACTCTCATTCTAAGCTCGTTTAATAAAAAAAAAATCCTTCGCTCCAGGAGCACCAGCCTTAAACATAAATTCCCAGGCTCCAGCGTTTAGCTCCCAATGATGCGACACCGCTGTGGTAATTTCAGAGTGGAGCAAAGTCTGAGATGATGATAGGCCTTAAAATTAATGTGGTCCCTGGAGTTCTGCAGTGGGTCAGCATTTAAAAAAAAAAAGTCAATAACCTCATGTCCTGACAAGACATCATCTAATTCACGCTGGGCTTCTGCGGCCAAACATTAGACGTTTAATCACTGCCATGTTTGAAGCACATTTAGAGAGGTCCTTTGTGATTTAAACTAAAAATGCTGGAAAGGATGAGACTTTGACATTCTTTGCAGCGCTGCCCAGTAATTTTCATTCATCACTCATTTCCCACTTTGACAAAGCCATCAAGCCCCGATCTATATTCAATTTCGCTGTGAGTGACGTATGATGCAGTCAAATGCGTGTAGAGTGGTGGGACAGAGGGGCAGAGGAAGGCAATGATGAGAGCAGGGAGAACAACGATGAGCCACGCAGGAATCAATGATCTGACGGCTTCAGAAAATTAGAGTACCTAGAGAAACATTATATTGACTGTCAAAATGAATGGCACACTTATGTGAAGTGGTGTGTAATGATGGCTTGGCTTATGTGCAGAATATCATTAAAACAGCCTGTCCTTGAAACATAAAGACATGAGATGACCCTTCATCATTATTATGCATAGAGTGCTCGAACCTCTTGTGGTGCTGGAGGTCTGATTCGCGGGAGCGGCGTTTGAGGCGGGGCGGCTCGCTGTGCAGAGTTTCACCGTCAGGTACACTGCCCGGTTCAGACAGCACAGCTGGGGAGGGTGCAGGGCTGAGGGTGAACGGCACAGGGCAGGGCTCCTTACAGCATGTACTCTGGGTCTCATATCTTATTAGACGAGACTGCAGCTTCACAAAGCCACGGTCTCGCTCAAGACCCTTCCGCTCATCCAGACAGAACCTGAAACGCACCCAGAGAATACTTGAGAAGACGGAGGAGGTAATAAGGAGGATATATCGGATTGGTTTTTATGTAGACACACACACACACACACACAAATGCACACTTACTCTATTCCGTGGTAGTGGGATCTGGCGGCCTTTGAGAACGGGAGCTTGGTAACCTTTCTAGGTGTGAGGTCAGGAGACAACTGAAATGCATGTTCGCTGCACAAACAAAAACACAACCCACATCAGAGACATTCAGATGGAATTTAAATACATGGGAACATTTCTAGAGACTGTGTGATAGAGGGCCAGTTATGTGGGAAACCTTCACAATCTATAAAAAAACAAAAAACAAAAAAACAATAGGACTTCATTATCTTTGGTATATATTTTGGTAACAGAGAATATTTTCATTTTGAATTAGATAATTAAATAGTAGGGACGTAAATGTTTAGAAAGATATATTGATTGTTATGCCTATGTAACTAGTTTTCGCTGAGTTGAGTATAGAGACGTGCTCCAGAAAAAAAAGTTCAACTGTAGACTTGTTCCCAGAATACAGTTGCCAGGTTCATCAGCGGTGGGTACACAGCTGTTGCGAGTGAAGAAGCTGCTAATGAGCTGAGAACAGAGAGACTGGCTGTTTTTTTTTTGTTAGAGAGCATAAAGAGAAGCTGGAAGAGTGTTTGGTTAAAACGTTTTAGAGTTTTAAGTTGATTGTTAAACAGAAACCAGTGACTTGATCTCTGCCTGGACTCGATTTGTGAAGCAACCCACACTTTGGCGATAACCTACCTCTAAAATTAGGTGTGTGAATATAAGCATTTACTGAAAATCTTTTCATGGAAAATCATTTGTGGGCTGGATTTACTGTCAACATTTGGCAGATTAAAAACAATGCAATTGGCACCAATGTGCCATTTTTGTTGCATATGGGTCTGTTCCTCGCACAATGCTATATGTAATACTGTATAGTCCACAAATGGAACAATTTTTTAAAAACTTTTACACTGCTTTTTTTGTTGTTGTCAACAAAAACTTGGAAAGGCCATTTTCATTTTTAATATATGACGACGAGGGGTGAACAGAATACTCTTTAAATATTTCACATTCAGTGTTCCACAGAAGAAAGCCGTGGGTTTGAAACTGTGAGAGTGAGTAAATAAAATACTTTCATTTTTGGGTGAACAACAATCCCTTCAAGACCAGTGCAAGCTGAAAACAAAGCTGCAACATTTTAAAACTTGAATGATGTTTCAAAACTTTCTACCATGTGCACACATGCTCCCTGCTTGTTTTGAGGGACTTAAATTTCAGTTTTAATAAGTTAGGGGGGAAAGTCATTAAGAAATATCATTTCAGAAGCTTTGTGTATGACCAACCCTCTAAGCACTGGCAGCGGCTGTAGCTCTCCGCTAGGCAGTCCATCAGAGGTGAAGTGTTTGAGCAATTCTCTGGCATCCAGCAGTGTAGAACTTCCCCTCTGGCTATCTTTAGGCCCCATCAGACTCTCAGAGGAACCACTACTGAACAGTCTGCACCTGTGGACGACACTGAAATGTATTCATCCAACTAAACACAAATGTACTTTTCCAACCACTGAACAAATGCAGTAATGCACAAGCCATTTCCTCATCAGATACATTGTTTTGAGATTCAATCAGCCCCAACAAAGACAAGCCAGGGCTCCAGAAATGGTAATGTGGTGAACAAACATTATTCTGAGTTTTCATTTAATGTGATATCTCGTTTACCTGGATTTTTGTCGGACTCTCTGTATGTTCTCGTAGTTTTGTAGGACGCTCCTCTCAGGCCATTCTGCGTGAGAAGATTGTTTCACATCTTTGGAAGACCATGTAATAGATAGAAAGAGCAACAGGTAGAGAACATTGAAAACATATTATTTTGTAAAGTAAATAATAATAATCCTAACAAAAACATGGTGTTAAACCAAGTGTGTAAAATATATTATCTTTTGCCCCAATAATATAAGGGCCTCCTACATGGTTCATACACATTTTAACCAATAATTTTCCATGACTTTTCCAGGAGTCCTATATATTTGACATCAAAAGGCACAAAGGTGTCTCCAATTAAACTCTCCAAAATTTTGCTGCATATTTACCTGTCGTTGGTATTTGGTTTACATGTGCACTGTGCGGTCACATTAAAAATCGCAGGCAAAAAAAAAAAAAAGGTCCATTGTCTATTGTCAATTAGTTTAGAGAGAGGTTCCTCAAATCTGGCCATGGAGGACCACTGCCCTGCAGAGTTTAGCTCAAACCCTGATCAAACTCACCTACCTGTAACTCTGTAGACCTTGACTAGCTTTGTTCAGGTTCCTTTAATCAGGGCTAGAGCTAAACTCTGCAGGGCAGTGGCCCCTCTAGGGCCAGATTTGAGGGATCTTGATGTAAAGAGGTATATGATTATGAAGCACAGCTCACACGGAATTCTCAAACCAAGCAGCGCAGGCAAATATTTCCAATTGCATTGATTCCCTATTGAAAATACTGGATTTCACTTGCGGCAATTTCGCTGAACAAATGTGATGCGACACACCTTTAGTTAGTCCCACTTCTTTTGTTTACCCAATAAAAAAAGCTATTTTTCCAGTTCAGTCTGTGGCATGTTAATAATTATTTATTTATTTATTTATTATTTAACTTTTGCACATTTTGTTAACTTTTGAACAGTGAACAAATGCTTGATGTAATATAAAATCTGGGTAATAAACTAAAACCTGTCAACAAGCACTGGTCTACATTGGAGTGTTTTTTTTTTTATATTACATGTAAATAAAATTAAGGTTAAAGGTATAGCGGAGGATTTTCTTTTTCCGGGTGGGTAGTCTATACTATTGGTCCACCAGTGTCAATCATTCTGGTGATATGTTTACGTAAGGCCGTCGTAGGCTACGTGCTCATCCCTATGTAGTTTTCACTTTTAGGTGTATTATGTCGGAGACGGAGTTACGGTTTCAGCCATTCCTTTGAAAATGGCTGAGGGTCGAAAGAGAAAAAATGTTTACTAAGTGTATGATAAGAAGAGAAAGGCCGCAGAATATAGAAACAAGACCAGAGAGATTTTGGGTGAATATCACACACTGGCGTGCGCTAAAAGCACAGGTTGGGCTTCTCACTTATGCCGCAGTCGCGAAGATTCTACTACACAGGTAAGGTTTGTCACGCTATTTGGAGAAATCCATTTGAAATCACTAGTAAAAGTTAATGCAAGCTACAATGCTAGCCCTGGCACGAGTCATGGACCGCATAGACACGGTAAACATCTCAATTTGTCTAAAGTAGCCTTTTGTCCAAAATGGTAAATGGTATCACGCTGAAATATTCTAAAATCTTGTGTGTTTATTATTACACAAATGCAACAAGCTACTTCTCCATATGCAACTATGTATAAAAATAACGTATTAACAATGAGACATATTAGGTTAAGGACCAACGTAATAGCACTGCTTATATGTTGCCATGTAACGTAATTGCGATTTGCAAAATAGTTTCCTCAGACCGTATTTCGTGTGATACAGGGTTGCACATATCATGTCTTGAGTCCTCGGTCACTCAATCGATCAGTATAATAAGTAAATAAAACACGGAAGGGCATTTGACATGTTGTCTTTTTTATGAATGTTTTTTAGTTAGTTTAGAATTTGCAACATAATTGTGCAAGGCGTATAGACGTTCCCTCTCGGGAGCAAGAGTGTTGTGTTTGTGCATGTGCATTTTTTTTAAAAATTGGAGAGGGCGGGTCTTCTCTAAAATTCGGAAAGATCCTCCGCTATACCTTTAAATAGTTAACTACCTTAGTTAACATGTACTAAGAATGAACAATACTTCAGCATTAATTAATGTTAGTTAATATTAATTTCAACATTTACTAATACATTATTAAAATCAAAAATTTTAACATTTGTTAAAATCAATTAATGCACAGAACTAACACGAACAAACAATGAACTGTTGTATTTTTATCAACTAAAATTAACAAAGATTAATAAATACTGTAACAAATCTATTGCTCATTGTTAGTTCATGTCAGTTAATACATTAATTTATGTTAACTACTGAACCTTATTGTAAACGGTTACCGATTAATTTATAATATCATACATCATATCAATCACTGATCAGAAAAAAACAAATATTTTCCACCATGATCCATACAATTATGATAAATGCTGCATCCCTAAAGTAAACTGCTGTGTATGAAAGTAGCCCTCACCACTTTTTTTAGAAGATGAAGTTTGGTTGCGTTTAGAGACTCTGGGCAGTGTGGCATCGTGCATTTGAAGGTATTGCTCTCTGGCCAGACTCAGCAAAGCCTTCAATTCATTTACAGGAATGGTGGCAGTCTTCTGGACCTCCTCTCGTCGCCCTATCCACAGATGATATCCATCATTAAATGCCTCTCAGTAATAATCATACTAACATTCTCTCCATTCAGTCATTCATTATTGAAGTAATTGATTTGTAAGTTATTACAATAATAACTTACAAATCAATTACTAAAATAACATTCAAACTGAAGCAACTTAAATGGCTTATTAAAGAGTACAATTGTTTATAATCATACATTGTGGCATTAAGGGTAGTTTTAACATAAATTCACTAACAAATCGTCCCAAATGAAGCGTTTCAAAGCATTATTGCTTTCTGATACAATTGTATCGAAAATGGTTCATTTCTCGAAGCTTCAGTCAGATAGAAATTGCAGCACCATCTCCTAGTGAAGTAAATGTAATGCAACAAAGCTGACAACCATAATATGCAAGTAGGCGTAAATGTTAACAGTAATGCCCCATTTATTACGCGTTTACTGAGGCTATCAAAGCTGAAACAGTGTTAGTGCTGTGAAACTCATTTATGTAGGTGAATTTCACAGATACTGATGAATTTCATGTGTTCACCTTTATAATAAAACATTAAGCATGATGTGTGTGTGTTATTATTTCTTCAGACAAGGAAGAAGATTTAGACCAGCTTGGAAAGTTGGAAACCATCACAGAAATTCTACCAGTTTCTATTAAAATACCAAAAGGAACCATTGGCTTTTACCATTTAAACCACTCCAGAATTATTTTGTAGTGTGTTTGGGACATATTCCATTAGGATTTAATGCCCCCACAAATAGAACCCAACACATATCAGTAGAGACCCACAGAGACCATTATAATTCCCATTACAACCAATAAAATGCCCATGAAAACCATTAAATCAAATAGAATTTATGTAATGGTTTCTATAGTAGGGCAGTATCATGCGTGAAAGCTTTATCTTGTTTAGCTGTGGGAAGCAGAACTCTATAGACCTTATTCAGAGCAGCGCCATGACTTACCGTGTTTCCAATGGCATCCGCTGTAAAAAGCTGAATAAAGCTCCTAGATTACTTACAATTTTCCACAGCTTATATTGTTGGGAGTTTTTTGTCAACTAAAATTTCTTGGAAAGATATTTTTCCAGTGTTTCATGAGCAGAACAATCCGAAAACACATTAAATAACAGTACAGCCCATTGGAGAGATGCATGTCTATCCCTCACAGCCTTGCTTTCATTCTCATTAAAAATCAAAGATGGCGCTGCCGTGAATAAGGCGTATAACTTGTTAACTGGTGGGACTGATATTTTTGTATGTTGAAAAGGATGACCAGTTAAACAAGCACATCCTTCAACAAACAAAAATATACTTGTATAATGTAGCAGAGGGTTTTTGAAGTTTCTGTCTTACACCATATCATTCACTACATATGTAAAAATATTTGTATGCAGAAATGTCAAAGAAATGACCTTACTCGGGGAAATAGGTTTAAAGTTTTCCCAAACTTGGGAACGACTTCTAGGTCTCGCTGGCTCCATCACAACACTGAAATAAACTCAATCCACTCTCAACAATAACGCAAATCCAAACACTGACTACTACAACCTGCGGTGTTGCCATGGTTTGGCTTCACTTTTTTAAACTGGATTGGGCTGTCAAAGCAATGAGGTGGTTCACTAATGAGTGAACCAGTGTGTTTGCTTCAGACGTCATTTTCAGATGACTAGTGACGTAATGATACAAGCTCCGAAGCAATGGTTCATTGAAGCAAGCTTCGGAGCGTCAGTGTCAAACGTAACCTCACTACCCATTAACATTGACTCTGTATGAAGGGTCTACATAGAAAATGTACATTTATTCATTTAGCTGAAGCTTTTATCCAAATTGACTTACAATTGCTATATATTTCAGAGGTCGCACACCTCTGGAGCAACTAGGGGTTAAGTGTCTTGCTCAGGGACACATTGGTGTCTCACAGTGGATTCGAACCCGGATCGCTCACACCAAAGGCATGTGTCTTATTCACTGCGCCATCACCACCCCTGAAAATTAGTTAGATATTTGATAGAGCCTTTAAAACTGGCTTGAATTTATTGGCTCTGGCATACCAAAATTATTCTATCAATCAAACAGCCTATCATGCATCATAATCCTCTGTTAACACATCAGGTGTCGAGATTCTGACATAGGCTCTATTGTTTACTGCTCAAAAGAGTTCCTAATTTTCAGAAATCGCACAGGTGAGACTGAGAATGTGTGACCAGAGGAATATGATTAGCTATGTGCTACTCTGGGGTGACTGAAGAACAGCGTGTGAATACTTGGAGGTCCTGGTGCAGGGTTTTTGCGTTGCCAGGGAAACACTTACGGCAGCATTCCTTGAGGACCAGGGTCTGCACTTTGGCCAGCTTTCTCTCCCTCTGCAAGAGCTGCTCTCCACGGAGATACGGCAGGGACCGCAGCCAGTCAGCACTGCTGCTCCCTGTGGAGAAAGAAGAGGGAATAAGAGTCTGACAATGCAGAAGATTGGGTCAGGAGAGGTGTTCATGATGTCTACGGCAAATAACCAGGAGAGAAGCTTGTGCAAAAATGTTCAATTACTGAAATGTTGCTATTCTTTCTTAGAGGATTTGTTTTGGTTATGCTAATACTCTTACATGTGTACTATTTAGAAGAGCCATTATCTATTTTCATCTTTACTTTCACTATTGGCACGTCTGCATGAGCTAAAATTGACGTAAGCCATGCTAATCTTTAAAACCACAAACAGTTTCATAGGGTTTTCACATATCCACACTGGATACAAAACTGCTGCAAGGCCTGACACACTCACAGCTAATTAAAAGATATTTGTTGTTTAAATGTACATTCACTGTGGGTAATGCTACTGAGCATGACAAAGCAGAAACAGAAAGCCAACTATCTACAAAGTATCCTGTCACTTGTCACAATCAAAGTTGGTTAGAAAAAATCTTTTTATTACTTGTTGTGTTCTGTCATGCCAGGTTAGGACACAGATGTGAGAACTTCAGACTGATTTATTTCAAATGGTATTTGTTTTTTTTAGAACAATTCAGACTACATTTTATTTACCCCAATGAATTCACAATCTACACATTCCCGGGTCATTTTTGACCAAGTGGAACATCATAACTTCATTTTCAATTAAAACAACTTTGTATTTAATTAATAATGTCTTGGCAACATGTGTGAATGTGCAACTATTTAGAGCTTTTTTTAAAGTTATTACTATGTTATTACTACATTGACCACCATTTTTAAATAAAAACTTGAGATGCATATTTGAATTATACAATAAGAATTACCAGCATAAACTCTTCAATTGATTTAATGGCTTTGACTTTGTATAATGGTGGCTATGCATTAATTGGATTAAACATAATTCTGAACTAGTGAATTTATCACTTTTTTTCCCAGAATTAACAGTATAGTTTAAACAGAAGTGTAAAAATGGCTCAAACAAGATTTTAACACATTCCATTGTTATAAACTGTTAGCTGACAGTCCCACTTTTCAAGTATAGACCTGAAAATAACATCTCTGACTTAAAATATTGAAAATTATGTATTAGCTCTTTTTTTTTTTAAATGCAATTTGTAAAGTGGTAAATTGCTAACACTTTTATTGGCACTCCAAGATGCTTAATACCTTGTTAAATTTATGGAACTAATACCTAAAAATGAACCCCTGCTTATAGAATCCATCCAGAAAGCCATTCAAAGAGCACACACACACGCCTGAGGGGTATCCTGGAGTGCACATCACAATACACTTTCTCAGAAAAGCTCCTGTATGAACATCACTTTTTTAACCCTATTTTTTTTTCTTCAAAACAACCTCTTGCCTAAAGTCTGTGGTCTTTAGTGATCAAGCCAGACTGAATTATGGATCTGGCACAACTTTCTGAGCTCCACAGGAGGTTCTGAGCAAACCCACGCATTCTCTGATGTCAAGAGCAGTAATTTACCCCAACAAAGGTCTCCAGCGGTGGGCTTAAATACAGCCATTCTTGCTGTACAAAGAGCTTTTAAGAGTAGTAGTGAACCACAAACCACCTGATTACATGAGTTTCAATTACAAATAGATCTTAATCAATGAGAAGGGACGGACAGTGCAAGAATGATACTTTACATGAAATAACCATGTGTTTGAGAGTTCAAAATTCATTATACTGCACAAAGGGAAAGTGGGAAAAATCTAGGGGAAAATATATGTATTTTAGGAGGAGACAGGCATACAAAAAAATGTCCTACATTCTTATCATACTTGGAAATTTGTCCAGGACTAAATGCCCTCGTTTGCTCTACCGAATAAAACATGGACTTGAAAAGGTCTGAAGCCTTGTTTAAGAAACTGCTGTTTTTAACAGAAACATGGTTTATTTGTGATTATATGGAAAACAAGACTAAGTCAGTGGCTGTGTTCTTTTCAATCAAGTGTTTTCAAAAATCATATTAATGACAAAAAGTAATGTGTTCTACATTTATGAACACTGCAGTTCTGGTCTTATTGGAGTATAATGTCTCCTCTGCATCATCTTTCTTAGTGTCGTCCAGGTGGCCTCAGCTGCTGCTGTGATAGATGAAACTGTTGTATGGGGTTTAATTTGACTCTAATAAATGCGGTTCTTGAATGCCAAGGGGCCCAACTTACTTTAGAAGAACCGTATTCGTTTTTTCAATCAAGAGTAAACATAGATTTATAACTATGCTCAAAGGTGTACTATTGCATTTGTGCATATCCAAGCTGACATCGGCTGTGCATTTAAAAGATTGGTGATCATACCTGAGGAAGGCGGAACTTTTTCCCTGATGAGGGCATTGAGCGTTGCCAGGGCAGCGGCTCCATTGATCTGATTGGCCATGTGTATCATTCGAGCTGTGCAACCTCCTGACTCCACCCCCTGCACCAAGAAGAGGTAGTGGCCTCTCTCACCTTTTACCTCCACATTAGGCACTGGAAGGATGAAGAGTTAATAGCACACTAGCAAATACACAGGAATGAATGCCTATAAATGTCAGCATATAATTTAACAACGTGTGATAAGAGCGTTTGGCGGCACATTCACATGTGCATGGTACAATTATACATATTAAGAGCCTTCAGAACAAAGTGCAAGTCTGTTTTTATTAAACACTGCTCATACCAGGCAAGTCCTTGGGACGTTTGGACATGAAGTCTCTCCATTTACAGGAGCTGAGCTGGGAGGCCGCTGGGAAAGTCTCAGTGCTTATCACGCAGGACAGAGAAAACAAAGCTCCCACCTGCAACAGGAGACACTTCTTATCATTGTCACCCCAGTGTTCCAGCTTTGGGAAATATGTTGTTGGTCGCAAGTTATCAATATCTGACTTTGACAGCTGCGGCTATTTCTCAGTCGGGGAGAGTATATATCTAGCCTGAAGACATTAATTGGAAATAATCGTGTTGGTGATGGCATACCTCTCCTCGCAATGTGCAGAGCTGGTCCAAGAGTAGCTTAGCTTTGACAGATTTGGAAGCCAATCCACTGTGGAAGCACGTCAAGGTGTAAAACAATACAGGGGAAAGTGTACAGTAAACAGTCATGAGGGACATGCCATCTCAACTGCGTCACATTAAGCGAAACATGGTGCAGTTAGTAAATGGTTCATTTCTTATTCTTATGCTTTCCGAACATCAACCAAATTCTAATAAATATAGTATACATTGGAATAAATCATGCAGTACCATATACAGGCACCACCCCTAATACATAAATATCATTAGTTATTTAAAAAGATAGGCAAATTAATGACCTATTTTTCAGATGCATTTGTGAGAGAAATTATAGTTCGTTTAGGCACCATTGGCACCCATTCAGTAATTTGAATTAACCTTTGCAGAGGCAAATCATTACACATCTGAAAGAGAGATATATTCAAATCATGTATATATACTTTATGCAGTTAGAGTTATGTGTATTGGTAAGAGATACTTTTGTCAGTAAGTGTCAGCCCCCTTTGCATCCTCCAACTGACTGCAAGGTTTATGGATAAAATGCACTAAAAATGAAAGATACAGTTCAAATTCTGTGCTTGAATGAAGGAGAATCGGGATATCTGTGACTCTGACCAGCTGAATCAGTTCCAACAACGGCTGGTAACACTGAAACACCTAAAACGCACAAAAAACAGAGTTGTAAAATATTTATGTTCAGAGAGAAATTAACATTTTGTGTCTTGTCTTTGGAAGTTGGGGATTGTAGATTGTCAGGTCAATAATGCATTATTTAAAACAAAGAAAAAGCAGAAAGAAAGGGAAAAATTAGATGACTAAGCAAAGGGTTGTGTGACCAACAGATTAAAGTGTTACTGGCTGTGACAGCAGCTGGCAAATGAGAAAAAAAAAGAAGAAAACGACGGCAGGTTTCCAGACTGTGACCAAAATGGTCACATATGCAACTATTTTTTGAGAATGCGAGTTAAAATTTTATGTGGTCGCATTTGTGCAACAGAGCAACATTGTATCAGCAGGTGCTGCAGTCCTTGTGTTCAAAATGAACGAACACATATTTTCTATATTTTTAAATATATATTATTATTTTAAGTTTAAATTTTAAATTAAATTATTTCAAGTTTAAATAATTAAGTTGTTTTATATATACATTTTCTTCACTGTATATAAAATAAAATTACAAATATTTTTGTTAAATGTCATTTTAATGATCAATCTTATAATGTTTTATATTTTTTTCATATTGTCTATATTATTCTGCAATTGATATTACATTGAATTTGCTGTTTTTATTATAATTGTAGTACTATACCACTTGCAATTAACAATCTATTACAGCTATGCTGTTAAATGATTGTACGGTACTATTCAGTCACCATTTAACTTATTATTTTTTATTGTCTATATACTGTAATTGATGTATCTTATTCAACTGCTATTATTATAGTATTATGCATAAACTATATGCTATTATCAATATTTGTATTATATTATGTAGTTATGATATTATACAGTATACCATTCATTACTATTTTATTTGCCTATTTTAGTTTATTTTATTGACTAAACCATTTACTTTTACTTCTCACTTTATCTTATATTTACTATACATTGCACTGTAGTTGTACCATATCGTATGTATTACCATAAAGGATCCATCACTTATCTTTGTTATTGCTAAAATCAGGTCAATCACACAAAATCCTTTTTCGACAATAAGAAAACTGTATTTCATTTAATGTAAAAATTGAATGATATCTTCACAATTCTTATCCAAGATTAAAAAGCCAGATAGCCTACATGACAAGCCTGAAATTTGACAATTCCTTATAAAAAAAAAAAAAAGTAAAAAAGATTTATAAGTCTAACTATCGAGATTTTAAGAGACTATCTTGTCCTCAGCAAAATGGTGGACGCGTTGACTTAACGCAGCAACGTTCCAAAGCGGCCAATAGGGCGTCTATATATTTATTATGTCTATGGTTTACACACCAAGTCTATTTCTGCTGTGCTGCATGCGCTAAATTAAAGTGATAGCACATAATTCATGGTCAAAATGAGCACAAATTGACATGACAATGAATTTCATCATAAATGCATTTCATTAAATAAAATGTAGTAATCTCACCATAAACGCATTTGATTAAATATTTTTTTAGAATATTTTGATTTGATAGTTAAAGATTAAAACATTTTACTAACATGAGGTCTTGTGTCACTGTCATTCTTTTTACATCAGTGCAAAACTATGGTATGCAGATTAAGACCACTATTCAGCATTGATTAATCCAATGGCATGTAACAAAAAAAAAAAAAAAAATACATAAATGCGACCAAATCCTATGCTGGTGCGACCAACTGAGAAAGTTGGTAGCACCAGTGCAACCAGTTGAAAAGTTAGTCTGACTGGAGCCCTGCGACTCTTTACGGTTTGTTTGCCATTAGGAGAGTAACAGTTAAAGCTGTTTTGGGGCCGCTGGGTGCTTGTGCCCCTGAGTGTTGAAACAAGATCAGCTTTGTGCTCAGGCAGGACTAAACCAGGGCTTTTGGGCTGGAAAATGCGAGACTGAGAGGGAGTTGGCAACATTTCTAACTCTTTATCAGCTCTTTAAGCTTCATACAAGAGAAGCCGAGCAAAGAAAGAGGAAGTCAATCTGAGGAAATCTGCTCCATTATTCAGTAGTTCTGGGCCACAGAGAAGACAAGTGCAACGCAACATGTAAAAATACAATTCCAAATCCCTTAAGAGTGATGAGATTGAAAGGGAAGGATTGTGATGATAACATCATGTTAACTATTATGAGCAAGTTAAAAAGGTCCACCATGGTGAATATATTTGCTTTACGTTATTTATATGTAGGAGCGAGGAAGAAAAATGATGCGTATGAAAATAAACCAAACTGGTTTCGTTTTTTTATGACATCCAAGCAGCATCAAAACTCTGTATTAATAGGGAATTCACCTGGCTGTTTTATTCTGGATTTGACTCAGAATCCATTTTATAACATTAGTTTTACTGCGGCTAAAATCTTTTTGGTCAGCAAATAAAATGAGAAAAGAATGAAATGAGATAAAGTTCTTCCTTAAAGTATTTAAAGTAGTAGTTCACTTTTGAAAAATCTTTTGCTGATAATTTACTCACCCCCATGTCATCCAACATGTCGATGTCATCCTTTCTTCAGTCGAAAAAAAAAATTAAGGTTTTTGATGAAAACATTCCAGCATTTTTCTCCATATAATGGACTTCAGTGGGAACCAAACGGTTCAAGGTCCAAAAGACACTTTCAGAACAAACTACAAACTGTTCAAAGGGCTTTAAACGATTCCAGACGATGAATAAGGGTCTTATCAAGCGAAACGATCACTCATTAAAAAAAGTTTAAGTTTAATTATCTCAAATGGTCGCCTTGCTCTGCACTGTGATGCACGTTTGTGACTCTCCTGTTCGAACTCGTTCATAAAAAAATGAACGGATATTATACCGAGGCATTTGGTTCGTTCAACGAAAACTTTCTAAACTTTGTTATTATTATTTTTTTTTTTTATGAGTGATCATTTTGCTTGATAAGACCCTTATTCATCATCTGGAATTGTTTAAAGCCCTTTGAACCGGTTGCATTTTGTTCTGAAAGTGTCTTTTGGACCTTGAACCGTTTGGTTCCCACTGAAGTCCATTATATGGAGAAAAAACCTGGAATGTTTTCATCAAAAACCTTAATTTCTTTTTGCCTGAAGAAAGAAAGACATGGACATCTTGGATGACATAGGGGTGAGTAAATTATCAGCAAAGTTTTTTGAAAAGTGAACTACTCCTTTAATTCACAGATTATCCAAAAACTTGTCATTACTACAATAACATGAATTTCAAAAAAAAAAAAAAAAAAAAAAAAAACTATTATAATACAGAGGCTGCAGAAGACACTTAAAAATAAGTGAATGCCACTTACTTTCAAGCAAACCAACTACAAGAAAAGCAGTTGGTTCACAGAAGAAATTTGTATCAAATGATTGAAAAAAAATATTGTTCGAAATTAAGACTTCTTTGTGGAGTCAAACGTTAGGTCTTCACTTTTGATGAGAAAATCATTTTGATTGCAGATGCCATTTGGTTTGATATTCTGTATATACCGCAATGACAAATAAAAAGTAACTTGTGACTTTTTTTAATGACCACTGCATATACTGTTGATGTAAAATTACAGAATTTGGTCATACCGCCCACCCCTCAGTGAGATCATCTATTTTTTGGTTTCTGTAATTAAAAGGAAGAAGTTTAGAAAGTGTTATTTCCACCCTTCCAATTTACATTACAGTATTAGTGCTTGTAGTTACTGGAACAGCTCTGACTAATTGTCCAGTGCTGTCATCATCTCTCATCAGACGTACAGTTGTGGTGGCAGATGGGAAATTATGTCTTACTCTGATGCAGGGGAGAGCGGCATTTTCACAGTGATTGCAGTGCCAATAACAATAATAAAGTTCTGTGGTCGCAAAAAAAAAAAGTTAATGGTACTAATCATCATAGAGGCAGTGAATGTAGAGCACAAGCCCTGTGTAAACAGACTGTGGGGTGCAATCGGCTCCGTTGGAGGAGCTGAAGTCTCCACTAATGCCACTGTGATTAATCTAGAGTGGAAAACTCATTACGATTACATTCCACAGTCACACTTTTGTGACGGAACCAGAGTGTAAGAGATGCAGAGAGAGAGCACGAAAGATACAATTTTAGAGCGCCTCTTTCACAGGGCCAGAAATGCACTGGATAATTTCAGTCATCCTGTAAAACAACCTTCACTAGGACTGTTTGATATTAAATATTAAAAACTTCATATGAGAGCTCACTGCCATTTCCCTCAGTGGAAAAACTGTTATGGGTGGTACTGACTCGAAATGCACCACCTGAAGAATCACAAATGTGATTGACAAACATTTTTCCTTCTTTAGTTATTGGCTGAAAATTAGAGCCCGACCGATAAAGGATTTTGAAGGGTGATACCGATACAAATATTTGTTGGTTTTAAAATCTGATATATCGGCCGATATTTATTTTATTTTTTCAAAAAAAGCAGAACAGACTGATGATAGTGGCATTAGCTAGCTTTGTGGTTAGCTAGTCTATGATGAGCCATAATTTAGCAATGGATAACGTCATACTGCAAACTGTAAAACATACATCTTAAACAGGCCAAGGAGAGATGATGCGTCTCACATTGTCAAAAGTTAAAAAAAGTTAAAAGGACAGTCGGTCAACTACACTGTAACAACGTAACGTAACTATTACTAGCTAATTCCGCTTCACTCTCGGCTTATTTAACAGCGGCAAAACTCGACATGATAATCACAAATTTTGTCATGATTATTTGAGTTAAGAGAACTGATGGGGATGTTCTTTTAATTGTTATTCAATAACAGCGTGAAATGTGTTTCGTTCGTTTTTATTTTATTTTTGAAATATTCATTTATCGGCCATTATAACTGCCAATACCGGTAGTTTGGAAACTGCCTAATATCGGCCTGCCGATAAATCGTTCTGGCTCTACTGAAAATGTAAGATCTAATAGAGGTCCAGCATGCTGTCCCTACTTTTTAGGATTGTTTGGTGAAGTATGGTAGAATTATGAAACATTACGAACAAGAGTCAAGACTGGAAGAGAATTATGAATTAGCGTCAAATACAAACATTTTAAGCATTTTGAAAACACACAAAACTGAGTAATAGTAAGAATCCATTCACATCTGGACTAAAATGAAGCTACTCACCTCATGCTGAGGTTTATGATCAGTGTGGCATTGCAGGTCAGTGTGAGGATACAGCACATCACTCCAGTGATTTCTCCTCAGAGCTCTCAGACAGAAACCCTCAAACTTCAGCTCTGAGACAAACTAAGAATAACAACAAAGCAATTTAGAATGATATGAAGAGAGGCTTACAAGTGTCGCTCAGAAGAGTCTATACTTCACAACAATACTTGTCCTGTTTATCCAACACAGGAGGGAAAGAAACTAATTTTTGCTCAAGCACTTTCTTGGAATTGACAAATTCGTCACATGCTTCAGTCTAAGAAAATGCAAAAACATGAGCTAAAGGAGATTTTAGTTTTCAAAGTGTGAGCAGCCAGCAGCTACAATCCAAATTGATTGAACTGGAAATCCAAACTCAAAACCCTGAACATGAATGATCTTTGTACATAATTAGGTTAATTTCCTGTATTTAAGCCAATAATTCACTTCAGGCTGGCCCAATAACCAGAGACTCAAATCTTTACTGCTCCTGAAGTGTTTCCTTGACCAAAGCAAACGCTCTGCTCATGCTCGATAACAGCTCTCTTCTTGCTTAGAGGGAAAATTTCCCTGAATCAAAATGTTATCTTTACATTGGCCACACTTAGTAAGTCTTTTCACCTTTTTCCATATATTTTCAGAAATCAGTAGGAGTTTCTGTTCTCTCACAGACTATTTCTTGCAAGTGTTCGCCCTCTGTTGGACAGAAGGAATTTTGCAGTTTCTCTTTGGATCTGTTCAATAAAGGTGGCATGTGTATTTTTCTATCCCAGGATATTTTTCAGACTATTATGAGTAGGCAGTTAGTAGAGCCAACAAATCTGCTCGCATTTGTCGGACGTGTCTCAACTTTATAACACGGTTGGAGCACGACTTAACTGATTGTAATAAATGGAGAGACGACGAAAGAGACCAGGCTGAAGAAGCACGTTCATTTGTGTATTCGGAGAAAAGAGACCGGGAGCCAAAATTATGTTTTAATGATGATTTAAATACAAAACTATGAGTAATTCTTGTGCTTGAACTTTGTCTTGTTTATTTGTATTTGTGTTGCGTGGTGTCTTGGACGAATCTGGTAAATAAACTGAATTGAGTAGCATATAGTATATATATATATATATATATATATATATTTTAAATACACCGTTTTAAATACTGTACATCTGTCCATCATCGTATCCCGCCCTGGCAATTTGATTGGCCCGACCATTTTTTTACTGATCATAATTACTCCTAAATGGATCGAGTCCAGACCAAACTTCAGTTCGGGCTGGCATCCAGGCAAACAAAATTACCCAAATTATCAAAAAATGATGAGCTAATAATAATAAATATGTATATATCTTTATGATAGTAGATATGGCAGTTTTCCCCATGGTTTTGAAAATGGTATCGAATATCAATATTTTTCAAGGTACCGTATCGAAGTTAGAAACTCCAATATGGTGACGACACTAGTGTAAAGCACCTTTTTCTCTCTAATGTGAAGTCCACCTCTCCAGATCTCCCTCCCATCCACACAGCTTTCAATCACTGATGGAGAACATAAGCGGGCGTCCAAGTACATGGCTGTTTTCTGCCACCTTTACAGTACAGAATGAAGAGAAACAGAGACATTGTACACAAGAAAACTCATTCATATGGAGGACAGTTTTCTAAAATAAAACAACAGTGATGAAGAATATATATTACTGAAGAGTATTAGATTTTACCCTGCACTATGTTCAGTGACCATGATCATCTGTGCAGAGTGCCATGCCCTCATGTGCTTCAAAGAGCCAATCACAGGCAACATATCCTTTAACCCCACCTCCTCGCCCACACATAGCACAATAACATCCAGCAAAGACTTCCCTGCCATCAAGAACAAACATTTCATCAATACAATGCAATGAAGTACTCTCCAAAAGCACATCTATGGTGTAACAACAGTAACATCATGCTAATGTATAATTCCTTTATAAAACATTCAAGGTTAAAAAAAATAGTACCTGGATGAGGAAGTTTGTCTGTTAATTGATGAAGTCCTTCAGCAGCCTCTTCAAAGAGTCTATCATGTTAGTTAATCATCATTGAAAAAAAAAAAACAAAAAAACACAGAGATTAAATTAAAGCATCAAGGAAAGCGAATGTAGATAAACATGATTAAACAGCTCATGATTGGTATCAAATTATTAGTGAAAAATGGTTGATTCTTTGGTCCTATTAGATTTATTTGAGATATGGGGCGACAACAGTATCAATCCAAACTCTCACTCTGCATGGGACGGGTTCTCTGTGAGCACGCTCTGTTCCTCTTGCTCCTGAAGGGCCGCGATACAACTGTCCAGAGCAGACGGCTCTGATTCCTCACTGTCACTGCGCTGGGAACACAGTTCCTCCCACTCTGAGCTGCACCACTAGAAATACAGAGTAAAGAGTGTGTGCAAGACGTCGAGTGTGTGCATTTTGGTGTACAAACTAATATGATCATCCTTGTGCAAGAGACCCCATTTTAAATTATGTATTTTAATGCATAGAGAAACAATTGAAAATAATTTACATAGGTATTCTATACACTATGTTAAATTAAAATATTATTTGGAAAATATTTAGTTTCTACTCGTTTTAGTTACTCATTTTAATATATATATATATATATATATATATATATATATATATATATAAAATATGTTTATTTATTTTAATCTTTATTATTATTTATGTATTAAATTTCTATTTATTTTTAACTTATTTCAATATAACTTATTTCTATTTATTTCTAACTTATTTTTACACTTTTCTCTACAACTTTTCTCTAAACATTTCCATGGATCCCCTTGAAGTCCAGTTTGAAAAAAAAATATACTACACTACATAATCATTTGTAATCTAGTTTGTCCCAAACAATTTATAAGACTTGTAATTAATTTCATGCGAAAGAATCAAATATGCTTATGCTAATTACCTGTGTTGTACCATAACTGGCTTGAATGGCAAAGTACCATTTCAGTGGAGCTGGACTACCACTCAAAGAGCAGGCTAAAGAGATGTAAACAAACACAAAGTCAAACTTCACACTAAAACGGGTGAAAAATGAGTGGCAAATGAGGTTATAATTAATAAACCTAACTTACCTGGAAATAGAGGAACTCGTGTTGAACTCGAGCCAGAAATACTTTTGAGATTATCAAACACTTTTTTCGTTTCATCAACACCTAACGTTACAATAAAATCAATACGTGTCAAAACAGCAACAGATAGGTAGTCAAAGCTGAGCTTTTGAAAATTGCGTAGTTCCGATAACGTTACATGACATAATTGTGTCATCTTTAAATAAGCATCTTACCGTTGAAAGAGCAATCTCTCTTCGGCTCTAGATTGATTATTACAACTAGCACGTATCTGTCCATGGCTGTATGCTCCTGTGTTCATGTAAAATAAGTAAATGCTGACTTGTTACAGAACGAGACAGACTTCAGCACAAAAACAAATTTACGCGCGTTCACAATCAACGCGGACGTTTCAAGATGACGCTGCGATGACGCGCGCGTTCCCAAAAAATACAGTCGGTAGGAACAGATTAAAACACGCTTACAACAATAACAATACGTGGTGATGGTGGCTAATTAAACGTTACATTATATAATTATGTATTTATTATTATTTGAATTACATAAGCAAAGTAAAATATATAATCTTAGAGCATAAATTCATGGCGTTCAATAGGAATGACATATTTAGACTGTTGTTTGAGGGGGACGAAAATTGCTGCTGTACTGCTACAGCCACATTGAGGTCAAATTTCTAATGTTGTAATTTGTTTCTAATGCTTTTGTAAGATGTCTAGTTTTTCTAGATCAGCCCAGGTAAGCTATTGCTTTCTGTCATACTGGTCCACTGTTATTTATAATTCTGCACTGTCCGCCGATGCTTAAATGCTTACTGAATGGAAAGCGTATCGAGCTTGTGATTTAACATGCTTATGGTCAAATAGATAACGTTATGTCTAATGCCTGCGTATGTACCTATTCTGGATATATTTGGATATCTTCAGAAATTAGATATCTAGAGTAGCGTTCATGGAAATGAGTGTAAGTTAACTTAGATGAGTGATAAATGTGTTCTTCTGCTACATCAGATGACAGGATAAGGAGACTGACAGTTAACCTAAAAAATGAAAAGCATTGTTTCTCGCCTTAATGTTGTTTCAAGTCCGTATGATTTTGTTTATTCTGTGCTTCATAAAAGCAAATATCTAATGGGAAGGTTTGCATGTTATGTTCATTGCTTCTTATTTTCCATGCAATGAAAGTAACTTTACTGATGAAATGTTTCTCGGACGATAGAGGCCATGAGGATTAATTTTATCTCAATTGGACTATTATTAGCTGCAGGGAACTAATTTTGTTTAGTAAACAAAAAGCAGGTTGCATTGCATAAATGATTTTTATTTATTAATTTTTTTTCCCCCCACAAGCAATGGGCGACCTTTGCAAGATCCTGGTTCCTAATAGACGGTAGGATGCAGCCTCCAGGAAAGATCGCCTCTATGTGCTCGGTGCGGCTTCAAGGGAAGCATAAACCCATTTACCATCCACTGAGTGAGTAAATCTGACTACTAAAACAAATGAAAGTCTCTCTTATGGCAAGCCGTTTTGACTTCTATTCATTCCCAGGATATTAATTCTGAAAGGGTTAGTATTTTCTGTTCCAAAGATGAACAAAAGTCTTACAGGGTTGGAACAACATAAAGGTGAGTATTTACTGACATAATTTTCATTTCTGGGTGAACTAATATCAACAATGACGTCGTCACTCGCAGAAATACGAATTCTTGATATCAACAATTACATTTCGCTAGTTAAAAATGCTTATTCTTGATATCAGGAATTACATTTGCACTAGTAAAAATATGTGGCTGATTGATTCTTGATATCAAGAACAAACACAAAGTTAAACTTCACATTATAACTAGGGGAAATTGAGGTACTATCTAGCTACCTAGAAATAGAGGAACTCATAATAATAATAATAATAATAATAATAGTTCATTACATGGAAGGGGTAATCTCCTCAACCACCACCGAATGCAGCATCCACCTGGATGATGCCCCCCCCCCCCCAATCAACCCCTACTATACAATCATGGGTCAAAACAGCAAACACAGTCAAAACTGAGCTTTTGAGAAAGACACAATTCCGATACATGACATTATTTTATCCTCAACATCATCACTCGCAGAAATACAAATTCTTGAAATCAAGAATTAAATTTGAACTAGTACAAACTATAAATCTTGATATCTGTTGTATTATCACTAGTTATTCCTGATATCAAGAATACATTTTAGTGAAAATGGTATTCTTGATATTGATAAAATCAAAGATTCATGTTCTGGAAATCAATAAAAGTCAAAACGGCTTGCCATACTCTTCAATGCACCGCTGATTCAGTACTTGTGGCCTTCTGACAATGTGTAGTCGCCCAATGGCCACAAGATGGAAGTAAACGATCACGTTTTAATATAGTGGCAGTGCTGCTCTATGCAACCAAAACATCATTGAGATACTATTATAGTTATTTTCTTGTATTTTCACTTTAATTTTATTTAAAGTGTTAGTTACATTTATGTTTTTATAATTAAAAAAAAAAAATCTTAATTTTTTATGTATGTTATTTTAGTACATCAAGTTAAACTACATCAAAATGAGAATGTTACTTTGGCAACTAGCTTATACTATGTATGTATGTATGTATCTATGTGACGATTGCGCATATCCTTAATGGCTGCTCTGCCTACAAAGGACTGTACATCGCGTGCCATGACCGTATCGTTGCACTCTTAGTGAAGGAGCTCAGGAACAATGTCAATTTTACCACAATCCATTATAACGAAAAGCTCAAGATGGACTGGTTCTCACTTCCACACAAACACTAGGGCTGGGCGATATGGCCAAAAAAAAATTATCACGATAATTTTTTTTATATCAGTCGATAACGATAATTATCACGATATATGTCAAATATTTATTTTTTTCATGTTTAAAGGCAGATTTTTGCAACAAAGTTGTATAAACCAGAGTGTTAATTGTGTTTTTAAACTACTCTTTAAATTTATGTTCACTAACAAAAACAGTAACATCTGTTTTTTTTTTTTTTCTTATGTAACAACCACATTTTTATTTGGTAAAAAGTAATATTCTGACTGTTTGAGTTGCATTCAAATTAACCATTGGTCATTCAGTATCATGCATTTAGATCATGATAACCACAGATAAAACCAGGTATATCCTATAACTTAGCTCCTCACTAACATGGCATGACTTTGTTTTCTGTATTTTTTGAATGAAAAACAATAGCCTGACAGCTAAATACATTATTAAATACTGTACTTATATTCCATTAGTCATAATACATTGTCAACATTAATAATATTATACAATTCAATATGTATATCCCACATTTCATGGTGCAGTTAATATTACTAACCTTACAGTAAATCCATGGTAGGCTAAATGGATTCAGTATCAATTCAGATTCTGACTGTATCGTTGCACGCAGTGTTTCTCCTTTTTGTCAGCGGTGTTTAATCTGCCTTTAAACTGGTTTAAACTTGACATTTGTGTTCTTCGCTGAACTCAAGTGCTTCTCACTGGATCTCGTGAGCAAAACGATCAGAGGCGCGTCTGCGTGAGCTCGCGCTGAGCCGAGCGGATAAATGCTCCGTGTGGCGCGCGCGGTTTAAATGAGTTTCGTTCCGCTTTTTTGACGCATAAATATCATCGAACATTTATCGACCTCTTGATATCGTTTTATCGAGGAAAATTATATCGCGATAATTATCGTTATCGTTTTATCGCCCAGCCCTACACTGCACTACATTGGAAACTGCCATAAATCACTTTCCAAATACACCTGACATAGTTGTAATTAAACCTCTGGGGTCCAAGGTGTATTTGGAGTCTTTGAGATGTTCTGACATGCCATGACATTTGTGCTTTTTTCAGTTGCTTATAAACATATTACTGGCACAGGTGAAATTACACTATATTTAGCACAAACAGGGCTACCATAATATGTGAGCAACATTTATGTACATATTTGTATTTTTGAGAGAATATTGAAAAGAAAAATACTTGCATCTCTCTCTCTTTTCATACAGATTACATCAACTGAGAATAGTTGTTGTCTTTTTATATAAATTACTTCATTTAAAAGAAGAGAATTCAGCTTCATAAAGAGAAATCTTTTGTGTCTCTGTGACAAGTATTTAATGAGTTACAGTTCATTTTTCGGACGCTTTTCAGAAAGATTTTTGAGCAGACAGAGTGAGCTCAAAGCGCACCGTTTATTTTATTTATTTTACAAAAACACAAGTTTTTGATGTTAATAAGAGTGTACACAAAAAATACCCTCTATAGTTTATAATCATGTATTGATTTTATTTATATGACCATTAATGATGGAGTATTTTAAGTCTATTTTGCAGCTATGTGAAAAAAAACGAAAAAAAGAAACGATTAAAACGGGGTTTTAATGAACCCACCAAAGCCGTGTCAATAATAGAAATTGGTCGCTCTTTTGATGCTTATTTGGACACCTGCTATGCTTCAAAACTGCTGAAATATCAACCATGGTACAATGTCCTCAATGACTTTGGCTATTCTTGTAAAGTTATTGCCCTTATTTTTGGTAGTTTAGGCCATGTGCACAAGTTGTGTGTATAAGAGGCCTGCAGATTTGCGGACTATGTAAGAACAAGGCCAAAAAACTGACAAGATATTGTTCTGTATCAGCACAGTGATTGGTAGCCTCTGCATATGGAGGCTTAGGTGCCAGTGCCACCTTTACCCCTAAATCTGCATAATGGACTAAGACATTGGCTGCTGTTGTATTACTTTTTGTCAAATTTGGATTATGCCTTGATATATGCTTATCTTTTAATTCAAATAAAGAATTGATATGTATGTACTGTATCTTCATGTTACATTTGTTTGTCTTAACAGACACATAGAGTGATCTACAGTGATCATTATGGTAATTTATGTAACACAAAAGTCTAAATCTTTAATCAGAATGTTTAAATTGTAAGAGTGCTGCTATTCTCTAAAGCTGACAGCTGTAATCAAGATTTATTCTCACACATTCATAACAGGAATTAAAGTTCTTCCCTTGATCTGAATGTGAAAAGCTGCTCATGTGGCAGCTAATTCCAGAGAGATGTAAGGTGTCCTAACTTCTGACTCCGACAGCCTCTGGAATTGATCCATTAGTCTGGAGCCGCACACTCACTCACAGACTGAGAACACCCTCCCCCGCTCCCACCCTGCTGATGGTGCTTCCTTCCTGAGACATGCTGGGAGTTTTTAATGAAACTTTCACTCTCCGATAGATGAATGAGCATAACAGGGCAAGAGATGAAAATTTCTCGCTGTGCAGTTATTCTGCTGGAGGAAGAGGGGCTGTGTTTTCATTTACTGGGTTTAAAGTAATAGCTATTTATTTCATTTTTTTGGCTAGATTTTTTTTTTTTTTCAGTTGCTCAGTTACACCTCTGTGTACATATTAAATAACAATTCAGTGTTACATTGGATTCATGTTGCTCCTGTTTTTCATCTTAATTCAAAAACATGGATGCTCCCATTAAGAGGTTCTAAAAGGATTGCTGCCATTGCATTGGAGATTTTAGCTCTTGACTCAAGGATTTTGTGTACATACATTTTTTGCCAATGATTTCAAATAAATATATGAATGTCATGATGCCAAATGTTCAGTATCCAATAAGAAGTACCAGTGAAATGCTATAATATTCAATGACAATCTCTGTCAATGGCAAAAACTAGAATCCAGATGATCCTACTCTTTTATTAATAATAATAATAATAATAATAGAGTATGTGTGTGTGTGTGCATATCTACCTATATATATATATATATAAATATAAGAGTTCAGATGCAAAAGCCTCTAAGCGCCATTTGAAATTTTCTTCTAGAATGATCATTTTTATCAAGCTTGTATATTTAAGTTCAGTGATTTCACTTAAATGGCAATGATAATTACCTATTAATTGTTATTTAAGTGAAATTACTGAACTTAAATATACAAGCTTGATAAAAATCATCATTAAAAAAGAAAATTTCAAATGGCATTTAGAGGCTTTTGCATCTGAACTCTTCATATATATATGTGTGTGTATAATATAATACAATATTTATACACACCTTATCCTTGGAGACGAGAGTCGTTGGCCCCTCAAACGTTCCTCCTTGCCGTGGACGCAGATATGGACGCGCCTCCTCTTCCAGGGAGATTCGTTAAACCTTTAGTTGATTGGAAATTCTTAATTATTGCTCTGATGGTGGAAATTATCATTTTTAATACTTTAGCTATTTTCTTACAGCCACTTATATTTTGTGAGGCTCAACAATCTTTTATTGCACATCAGAACTATATTCTTTGGTTTTACTTTTTATGATGGATGATTAAGGGAATTTGGCCTTTGTGTTTCCTCATATGGATACTTCTATGAAATGGCTGGACAATTTCAGGCTCCTAGTCACTCTAGTGTGCTAAAAATGTAAATATACTAAATGGGAATATGCTTGAAATACTTTACTTTTTTACTTAGTTTCTAGGGGTGTCAATAATTGTGCTCATTGTGTTTCGGAGAACTTTTATTTCAGGATGTCAATAATTCTGACCATTACAGTATTGATAATAGTAATAAATAAATATATAATGCATGATTAGCTGGTAAGTTACAGGACATTTGACACCATTAAATTTCACTATTGTTAAGTGTTTCCTCAGCAGGGGCTAATATCAAGAGTTCAAGCTGAATGTGCAGATTTATTACACATATGTCTTGTTCCCAGGTGATATTGGAGATCATGTGGTGGTCATGAACACCAGACACATCGCCTTCTCGGGAAATAAATGGGAACAGAAAGTGTATTCGTCTCACACTGGGTAAACGGAGCTCTCTCTCCTCTGTTTTTTAATCTTTCATTTATGCCCTGCTCTTGGCTGTTTTTCCTTTGTGCTGACAAGGAAATTTGAGATCAGAACCACTTCAACCACATGATTTACTGTATGCATGCTGCATGTAATAAAAACAATATGCTGCTTTCCAAAATGTTTGGACTGTGACTTCTCCATTTTTTTATCCCCCAGTTACCCTGGGTCGTTCAAACAGCTCACTGCAGCCCAAATGCACAAAAAAGACCCAACGGCTGTAAGTATCCTTCTCTAAATGTGACTTTTGAACTGGACATTTCTCTGCCAAATTCAATTATGCAGTGATTTCTACAATAACAGCATGTCAGTATCCCCATGTCACTCACAAACCTGCCACTAGTTCAAACCTGTTCATAATTTAATTCAAATCGCTTGCACCTTGGAGGGAGGTGAAAATCGACTTCATTTATTAATTTATGTAAATGATGCCCAAATGCGTTTTTTAATAATTGCAGATAGTGGCAGTTGCAGAGCAAAATATTCTCTCATAATCAGCATGACACACATTTGAATAATAAATGCTGTACAAACCCCATATTGCTCAGTTCTCCATCCTTCTTTTTAGTGCTTATCTCTCCTACTCGATTTCCAGTCTTTCCTTCTCCCAACTAAGAAATAGTTTTCTCAACATCAGAGAGCTCTCTCAGGGCTCAAACACCTCGACGTTATTAAATCAGCCGTCTTTCCTGGTCTGTCTGCTTCTAATATACACCTCTACAAGTGCCACCTGACGCGTCTGGATTGAAAAACAGCCCTCGCTGTGAATCACGCCCTCCTGTTTTTGAAGAAAAACAAATCTCAGGCAGCTTTAAATATTCTCGCTATATTTGCGTTGAATAGGGATGGCACTCGAATCGATGAAGCTGAAGTGCTCTGTACTCTGTTGAAACATTATTTTTCAAAGTTTTAAATGAAAGTGATTTTTAGATCGCTTTGAAAGAAAATATGATTTCAGTACTGCTACTTCAAAATGTCATGTTTATTTCAATGTGTTATTTTTATGATGATATTCCAAGAGATGTGGCTTGGTGGTTATCGCACATTTTTCTTACACATGCAGGTGATGAAAGTTGGAGTCTGGCTTGTGATTGTGTAATGTCGTCTATGTTGAGGAAGAAAAGCCTGAAAATAATATTAAAAGTATTTTTCATCACTGTAGTTTGGAAAAAAAAACTATATCTGTGCTTATTAGTTGTGAATGCATTTCTTAAATTGGACCACATTCTTTCCTTTTTCAACTTTATTGTGAAATGCAGAGTGCATATTCCATCTCTCTCTGGTGTTGTTCACCTCCTGAAAGTAACCTTGACCATTCCTTCCCACTGTGACAGACATTCAGAGCCATCCATAGTCTAGGCACACAAGCTGTTGACCCTGAATGTTTTTTGTTTTCGTGTGGGCCGTAACTGATAACGCACCTGAAGAAGAGTAGTTGTGTGTAGGTGCTGCACTCAAAGTCAAATTGAGCCGGCTACCGCCCTCCAGCGCTCTGCTCATTCTCTGTCATTAACAAGATGAATGCTCTACTTGGGCTGAGTTATTCCAGTCGAGGAGGGAATGTATCAGGGATAATTGTGGATAATGATTAGAGGAAGGTGACGGAGTTGTGAAGAGCGATTACTCTCTCATACAGCTTTCATCCATCAAACATCTACCAGTCAGAAGAGAGCAACAAAACAAAACAAAAAATCCCTGATTAATGTCTTGATGAAAGAATGATGGGGTTGGTTGGATGACGGGTTAAAAATGGCCACTCACTTGTGAATTCATTTGATTTGGTAGCAAAGGGACTTTTTTTTTACACTTCAGGTTGTATTATAGCAGCTTTACAGTGATAACATGAAGATAATACAACAAAGTTTGTTTCTAGAAGAAAATTCCGTCCATCGGAAGTAAGGCAGATCAATAATATAGTTGAATATTAAATGCCCCCTACTTAGCAAGCTACAAGCCAAGGCCTCAGTGGAAAGGAACCAAAACTCCATCAGGTGACAGAATGGAGAGAAAAAAACCTTGAGAGAAACCAGTCTCAGTCGAAGGCCAGTTCTCCTCTGTCCAACGAACGGACAGTGTATGATTATGATCCAGGCAGCATTACAGGTCAGAAGTCAGAATATTAATCCAGTCCCATCTGTTTGGAAGTCAGTCTCATCACGCCGGTATCCATCAAGAACATCCATCAAGTGTTGGATAGTATTCTGGGTCAATGTGCGGAAAGGTTTTTTGCCCAGTAATTAGAAACTCAGATTTAACATCCAAATTTTTATATCAGCTATGCATTTCGTTGCATTGGTGTATTTCGTCGGGGCGCGCATAAATATAAACCCAAGTATCATCAGCATAACAGTGAAAATCAATTCCATGCTTCTTAATGATTTTTCACAAGGGTAGCATGTACAGGGTGAACAGCAACGGTCCTAGTACTGAGCCTTGTGGTTCACCATACTGAACTTGTGATCGATATGACATCTCTTCATTTACTGCTACAAACTGGTAATAGTCAGATAAGTGTGGTTTAAACCATGCTATTGCAATTCCATTAATGCCAAAATAATTTTCGAGTCTATTTAAAAAGAATGGTCAATAGGAGCAAATGCAGGACTAAGATCCATTTACACTAATAGAGTCATACAACCACGATCAGATGATAAGAGTAAGTCACAGAATTGTGATATGGAAATCCTTGCAGATACCATTTCTTTCTTAATTTTTTCTTTTTTCTTTTTTTCTGTATTCGTACCCCTTAATTTAATTCACATCTTGTTATGCTGCAGCCTCATGCTAGCCTGCTTTAAATTACTTTTTGTGTTCACGTCAATTTACACTTTACAATTTACACCAAAAAAAAATTGATTTGTGATAACCTTAGAAAATTTATTACAAATTAAATGCATTGCATTAGTCTTCAAAAATCATTTTTTTTGCTTTGCATTTGTGGTGTATGAAATGTAGATTGATTGAAAAAAAAGTAATTTAAAGCAGGTTAGAATAAGGCTGCAATATTAAAAAGTGAATACTTTTGCAAGGCTGTGTGTGTGTGTGTTTCATAAAAAACTCACAGGTGACAATTTTATGTGTATAATGATTTAATTTAATTATTTATTTTGTTTTGAGTATGAGAAGGCAGAAATCTCCACATGTATTCTTTAGAGAGAGATTGACTAAAATGCAAATCTCTGGTCCCATTTTAATGTTATTTTTTGCTCCACAGATCATTAAACTGGCTGTTTACGGGATGCTTCCCAAAAACCTCACCAGAAGGACCATGATGCAACGGCTTCACCTCTTCCCAGATGATGTAAGCTCTCAGTTGATTCTCTGATTTATGTTCAGTGATGCCCTGTCCAAAGCTTGACATGTTTGGAAAGGAGGAACATGTCAGCGTATTTGATGAATGTTTCAGTGGAGGATGGGATGTATCCCATTAACAAGCTACATTATACAGCAAAATATGTTCTCTACAGCTACAAAAATAGAAAAATAACATGATGGTAATACCTTGCTGCCCAATTAATTAAGCTCTGTTTTAATAGTTGTTTATATATATATATATATATATATATATATATATATATATGTATATATGTATGTATGTATGTATGTATAATGAATATTAATAAATTCATTAATATCATTACTATAGTGGAACAACAAAACACAATAGGTTTAGAACTTGTAATATTTATTGCACACCACAACTGGCCAACAAAGAAGTCTACAAAAAATATGCTTCTTAAGAAAATTTTAATAATAAAAAAAATACATACACATAAACTCTTTGTAGTGCAAATTAAATAAATTTAATATAAAACTGAACAATGTACCAACATTAATAATAATAAAATATAATATTTTGGGGTTTTAATTTTATAACCTACAGAGAACGTCATCAATCAGAGGTTATTTTAGCCAAATTCTAGTCGTGTTTGCTGCAGGTGTTCACAATCGGTCAAGCAAAGATGCTTTCTGTGAACGTTCCCTCCAGGTTATTCTTTTTTTTTTTTATATATATAACCATGCAAACGAATAAAAACGTTGCAGATGACACAAATATGCTACATATATTATTCAAATTAAATATTGTGTACGTTATTTATAAACAATTATTTATAAACTTGGACTTACTCGATCTCTCTCGCGCACTATCGAGCGTGTTCGCCCACACACAGACACACCAGAGGAAACATTCACACACACACACAACACACCAGAGGAAACATTCACACACACACAACACACCAGAGGAAAAATGTTGCAGGTCCTATGGAGGAGAAGAGAGAGCCTGGATGAAAACCGCTTCAGTGAGCTCAATTATACAACAACATATTTTATTGTCAGTAACGGTAAAAGCGTAACGGAGAAAACAGTAATTAGTTTGATTACTCGTTTCGGAAAAAAAGTAATGCCGTTTGCTTATTTTTAACGCCATTATTTGTATTTGTTTATTTGTTATTTGTAACGGTGTTTATTTATAACACCGTTATTCCCATCACTGGTTATCACTGTGTGTCCCATGTTAGGTCCTCCCTGAGGATATTCTGAAGAACCTTACAGAGGAACTTCCTCAACCCAGAGAGATTCCTCGCAAGCTCAGCGAGTACACACAGGAGGAGCGGGACTCTTTCCCCATGCTTTGGACCCCGTGAGTTTTTTTTGTCTCTTTCTTTTTCTTTTTTTTAGTCTTTCTCAGCCCCTTTATCCGCTTTCCGACTGGAGGGATTTTTGCAGTTCCTAGAACCTAACATTCCTATATAACCCTTTTTTTCTCGTGTTCCGACTGGACTAAATTGGGGTTTTTTTAGTTCCTCAGACCAACTCTTTCAGTACCTAGTCTAGAGCGAGGACTTTTTTTTAGTTCCCTTTCCCTAGGTCTACGTTGATTGGTTCAACTTATTAGTCACTTATAAGTCACGCCCACTGAAGTATAAAATCATTGATTACCCGTAAGCCAATCTCATAACGTTTGGTGATGACGTGTTATTCACCAGCTCAGCCGCATGGAACTTCCACTGTAAACGCATGTATGATGCGAAACGAAAACCATCGAGCGAAATACCGGAGTGAACATTGCTGAGTTTTGCTGCCTCCTTAACCTGATCCTCCATGAATGCAACCAAGGGGGACACAATTACAACTATCCCCTTGCCGGCCTTTGGCCTGCCCAGTTTCTGGCTGGCAATCTGTAATAGTTGATAAATTAAACTTTTCCCAAAACCTGCCGGGAGTAGGACCACAACCTCACCTCCATTCAAAATGTTTACCAAACACTCTTCTTGTTTAGACTTCAGTTTGCAAATGGCGGGAATATTCTCCTCAACAGTGCGAATTGCATCCCGTGTCTCCATATCCGCGGCCGTTTTCGATTTCCCCAACCTAAAATACAGTCTTAAACTCTGCGTTTAGCGTCTATGTCATGGCTCTCAGCCCGCCCTCAGTTCGTTGATTGGCTAGGTGTTTTCAGGCCGGAGGAAAACATGTCGATGTCTCAGACTGAGTACAGAAGTGAACTGAAATATTGCGGAAGTACGAGGTCTTGACTCAGTCAAGCATTAAAAAAAATGTTTAACTTAGCAAAATCTTTTAAAAAGATCAAGTATTCCCTGGGTTGCATCTGTGCATAAAAAAAGAGGTCAAGTCTTGTTTTAGAGGTCAGGTGCTTTGTTTGACATGCATGCCCCCTGAGATACTTTTCTGCCTTGTTTGGCTCCACACACAAGATCCTCCAAGACATTTTATATCACTTGAGATTGTCACCACTGCTGTACTGCTATTAAACACCTCATAAACCCTTTGCATCTGTGCAGATCGTCCCTCTATAGACAATAAAGTTTCCCATCCTGAGTATGTCATTCACACAGCACATCTTCCCCTGGCTGTATTACTTTTGGACTTGATAGACCAAGTGAAGAAGTTTTTTGGATAGTAGTTAAATTTTCTAGGGGGGACAAAAAAATTCGGCATCCCAGCCTTTTTAGCAAGTTTTTTATTTGTTTTCCAAATGATATTAAAT